AAAAAAAAAAAAAAAAAAAGAAATAGAACTTTCTCAGCTGGGCACAGTGGCTCATCCTTGTAATCCTAGCACTTTGGGAGGCCCAGGCATGAGGATCACTTGAACTCAGGAGATCAAGACCAGTCTGAACAAGAGAAAGACCCAATCTCTACTAAAAATAGGAAAATTAGCTGAGCATGGTGGGAGATGCCTGTACTCAGGTGGGTGAGGCAGGAAGATTGCTTGTGCCCAGGAGTTTGAGGTTGCTGTGTGCTAGGCTGATGCCATGGCATTCAACTCGGCGTGACAGAGTGAGACTGTTATCTCAAAAGAAAAAAAAACAAACTTTTTTCCTATAGTAGCTATATTCATTCCAATCATCAAATAGGTGGGCCAGCTAATGCAAGGAAGATAAGGAGTTGGATGTCCCACCCCATGGTTCTGCCCCCATTACCTGGGCAGAGCACCTTAATGCATTTGCTGGGCTGAGCTGGGTATGCTTCCACAGGCAAAAGGCCAAGCAAAGGTTCAGCTCCTGCTCTCAAGGTGATGGATTTGACCCTCAGACTCTTCTGAAAAGGTACACTTGGGAGTGCTAGAATCCTAGTCTCCAAGTGTTGAGGTCTGAGTTTATTCCCAAGTTGTTAGCTCCTGAATGTTAAGTGTTTTACTTTTGGGGAATTCTGGGGGTCTGACCATTGTTCAGGTGAGCTGGGTTTGATGCTCACTCTTTTATGTTGGCCTTCCTAAGAGGTCAGTCTGGGGCATGAGTTATATCTTCCTATGATGCCTGTTACCCATCCATTGCGATGTCAAGGGACAGGCCCTTCCTGGAGGCCCAAGGCCTGGACCTGGACAAGCCCAACTTCACAGCCAAAGGAGACTGTGTTTCAGTTGGGAGCATATGAGTAACCTGATTCCCTTCTAAGACCGCAGGAAGAATTACATTCTAGTGTGTGGTCTTCATTTTTGGCTTGTTTTCATGTAGGCACATCTAGTCAAGGGTTATGTAATTTTCTATTATTGCTATTAATTTTTAGCCAAAGATCTTTGCCTTCACATTCAGCCAGATCTCTTTAGCTGGGTTGACTGACCCAAGGATGACCCCTCTAGATGCCTGTGTTTAAGCAGGTCATGGGGACATAAAGACACCTGGTGATGGGCATATGTGTATCTTCACATATATGGGGGACTCATCCCGGCCAGGCCCCAGCTGAAAGGATGTTTCCAGCTAAAGGAACACCCAGTGGCACAGCTTTTCTTTGGTTCACCTTATACTTTTCCCACTTTAAAAAGAGCATGGGGAAGTGCAGAGGACCCAGGCTTGGTTTGAGCCAGCCCTGGCTCCACCAGGTACTTGCTATGGGACACCAGCTGGTCTCCAAAGTCCTCTTTCCTCACAAACTGTAAATAACATCTCTGACCAGGTAACTGTGGTGGGTAGCAAGGAAATGACAGGTAGCTTCCTTCCTGCATGCCCAATCTTGGGTCTTCTCCCATACTGAGGATCCTGAGGGGGCAGCATTTGGAACAAAGGTGTCTTCACCTTGTGTCCGTGTGGGTTTACATGACCCATTCTGCACACAGAGCAGGTGCCTCCACAGGGCTATGTCACCTTCAACAGTAGTGATGAGAACCCTCTGGAAGGAGAGGGCCTCTGCTACCGGGATGTCACCTCCCCCATCAATGACCAGGATGTGGAGAGCAGCAGTAGCAGCAGCCGGGGTACGTAACCTCCCCCGTTCCCCACACTGTTCAGCAAGGGCTTTCCTTAGGCCTGTGTGCCTACCCCTGGGATGAGTCCATCCACCAGAGAACGAGAAAGGGAAGGGTACAGAAGCTCTGGTTCTTATAAGGGGAAACCAAAGAATCTGATACAGGGCAGTTCCACCATAAAGAGTAGTGAGAGCCATTCCAAACTGACAGGTTTAGCCCTTTGATTTGGAAGCTGTCCAAGGTTTCAGGGAGTCTTCCCTGTGTGCAATGTCTGTAGCAGTTACACGCATGCATGCAGCAGCTCTGTACTGAGAGCCACATATCCGTGTGCTTTTTAGGGTGTTTGGGGTTCATTAGGGAACAAAAGAACCTGCCTGTCTGTGGAGGGGTAGGGGAGGACAGGAATGAAGCATGAAGCAGGGGACCCCCAGCTGCTTAAGGAGATGAGCTGTGGCTGCAACAGCTCAGGTCCAAGGCCTGCAGGCAGGTGTCCTCTCTCCCTGTCATCAGAAGAGCAAGAACACGCTTTCTGTGCCAACCTCGGGATCATCCGGAGCAGCAGCAGCAGTGAGGGCCCAACCAGAGCCCAGGGGCTCAGCAGCGAGGCCTCTGTGGAGAGTAACGAGGTGAGTCTCCTTTTTTGACCCCCCCCATTCTTGGCATCATAGGGGATGCCTGACACCCCAGTTAACCTGGGATGAGCAAGTATGGTAGTAAGTCTTTAGTGGTTTTCTGTGCTGGGCTGGGAAGTGCAGTGTCCAGGGCCTGCTACCTTTGGGCATGGCATAAGTGTGGTGGCACAGGCTATAGCAGCAGCCTCAGAGGACAACTTCCTGAGGATTCCCAGATCTTAACCCAAACGTTACCCTTTGCTGCAGGATTCAGATCATGCACGTAAAAGCTCAGTTCGCAAACAAACTAAAAGTTATATGAAGACTAAGAATCGTCACAACCAGGGGCCTCCCAGCACTGGGACTTCTGGGGCAGCCTATACCCCAGGATCTATCCCCCAAAACGAGAGGTCCCCCTATTCAGGACCCCAGGTAAGGCCATTTGTAAAGCTAGTGGTTACACTCTTAGAAAGACTGTGCTCTTTGTGATTTGTGAGGTGTTTTCTGGGTATTTATGATGGGCCAGGCACTGTTGATAGAGGTGGTGGCTTTTCCCCAACTGACCAATAAACCACAGGCTCAGTGGACTCCTAATGATTAGTGGCCCAGTTGTGGGGTGTGTGTTGCATCCTTCTCCAACGGTGTCCATACTCCAGTCAGCCTCCTTAAGCCTGGAGAGAAAAACAAGACTGATGTCAGCTGCTTCCAGGAGTTGTGAAAAGACTTGTGAAGCAGAGACCAAGTGACTGAACAATTGGGTGGAAATGTGCTGTTTCTGAGTTCTCCTGCCTTGTGCAGGCACACGTGGTACAAAGAGGAAAGGCAGAGAGGAAAGTTTTTGTTCTTTATTGTTAAAGCACCAGTGCTGCTCACTGAGGGCCTGTGGTCTCAACTGGCTTCTCCTGCAGTCCCTCCCAAGGATCTGCCCCCAGGCTGCAGGAGCAGGTGTACTCTTACTGCCTTGATCATGGGAACTTGCCAAGGCTGTTTTTTCCAGAAAGTAGTCTAAGTGAAACGACAGAATGACCACCTTCAAAAATTTACTTTTCCATTAAAAATAACAATACACTTGCAAAAATTGAAATTCTGGAGTTGTAAAGTACAACTGAAATGAAACTTTGACTAGATGGGCTCAACAGTGGATTTGAGCAAGAAGAATCATAAAACTCATACATCATCTGAGACGATCTAGTCTGAGAGAATGAAGAAAAATAAATAGAAACTTGTGAGATACCATCAAGCTACCAATATACAAGATGCTTTCCAGAAGGACAGGAAGAGAGAAAAGCAGAAAATATGTTTAAGGGATAGCCTAACCTTAAATTGAAACAAATACATCGATCTTTATATCCAAGGGATTTGATGAACTCCAAGTAGGATAAACTCAGAAATCAACACTTCGACACATAAAATCAAAATGTTGGACAAAGAGAATGTTGCAAGGAATCATAGAGAAGTGCTACACCTAGACAAAGGTTCTCAAGATGAACAGCTTCATTACCACCTTTTACAGAGCTCAGCATGTCAGGTGAGGTGAGGAACCCATGTTCCAGTGATGAGGTCAGGAGAGAGATCAAAAGACAGCCAAGCTTAGGAAGTCCTGTCTGCCTGAGGGCACTGAGTAGGAGGGGAGGTGGGCAGTGTAGGCCCCACGCCCAGGCCAGTTTGGGGTAGAATCTGGCAGCCCGTAGGAGTCCAGTGGGTGAAGAGGAAATGCTCTGCACAGTGGCTGCCCCTTCCCTGTCTCCTCTGCCCTCCAGAACCTGGCCACACTACTGGAACAGATTGGGTGTCTCAAGTACCTGCAAGTTTTTGAGGAGCAGGATGTGGATCTCCGCATCTTTCTGACCCTCACTGAGAGCGACCTGAAGGAAATCGGCATAACGTGAGTCCAGCAGGGCCATTCCTGGCCCTGACACCCTTCATTTCAGCCAAGCATCCTGAGACTAGCTTAAGTTCTGACTTCAGAGAAGTCAGATCTATGTCCTTCCCTAATTCTCCCTGCAGATTGTTTGGGCCCAAAAGGAAGATGACCTCTGCTATTGCCCGCTGGCACAGCAGTGCTCGCCCACCCAGTGATGCCCTGGAGCTGGCCTATGCTGACCGCCTGGAAGCTGAGATGCAGGAGCTGGCCATCCAGCTGCACAAGGTAGGTGGTGCCCAGGGCGCCCATGGGAAAGGGGTAGGGATGGCAAGGGCAGCAGCGAAGGTGGCAACAAACACCCTAGCCCTTACAGGAAAAGGACAGTAGTGCATACAGGAAGGGACAGTCAGACGCACACAAGGACAGCAAGCAAGTGGCCAGCACAGAAGATGGACCTGGGGAGGGGGAGAGGTGGGGTCAGAGATAGAACAGACTCAGACCTTTGAGAAAGCGAAGCCTAGTCCTCCCATGTGGTCTTGGGCCCCCTCCCAGCCTGGCCCTCCACCCTGCAGCGCTGTGAGGAGCTAGAGGCTGTTCGAGGCCAGGTGTCCCAGGAGCAGGAGCTGCGGGCTGTGGTAGAGAGCTGCCTGCTGGAGCAGGACGGGGCTCACAAGTACATGCAGGCCCAGCTGCAGGAGACCTGGGCACTGGCCCAGGATGCTACCCTCATCCTGGACCAGCTGCGGTGAGTGGCCCTGAGTTATGGGGGGGTCAGATTCCCTCATTTGCTAGCTGAGCTGCAGAGGAGCTGCTGCAGGGGCCCTCAGGCATCATTCCTTCAAGATCCCTTAACTAAAGCTGCCTCTCCCCTCACCCCCTGCCATTGGCATCCTGGCACTTCCTCCCTAGGGCACACAGGGCGAGGGGCTCTGTGGGGCCTCCCTCCTGCTCCTCAGTATAACTTCCTGCTGTGGGAACAAGGCTGGGCCTTCCCCTCAAGGGTGAGGCTTGGGGCATCTGCCCTTACCAGCACTTGTTCCTGTGTGTGGCAGAGCCTGTCAAGCTGAGCTGTCAACCAGAGTGAGGCAGGACCAGTCCCCTGGTGCAGCTGCCCTGGGCCCAGCCTTTCCCCTGGCAGGTAAGAGTGGCCACCTGACTCTGATAGGCAGACAGGAGCAGGGTAGCTCAAGACCAGGTTTATCCAGCGGGCTTGGTGTGGCTGTCACACTGCCACCCTATTCTCCCTGGTCCCTTAGTGTCTGCAGTGCTGGCATGGAAGAGAAAGGTGCCCTGGGGACCTCATCACCTATGTTGGAAAACATACCTGTCCCCCAGTGGCAGGAGGCATGGCTGTGACAGCATCAAGAAAGGCCTTTGTGCCACAGCCAACTCTGCTGTCCAACACCTCAAGTGACATCAGCCTCCAGTCATGGGGCCATCCCAAGGGCATAGCTTCCCTGAGGAAGCTTTCTCTTTTGGGGCTGAGCCCTGCTTGGCAGCTAGTGCTTGGGTCAGCAAGCAGGAGGAGAAAATATTTTTGTCACAGTCTTTATAGTCTTGTGGAACCCCAAGTTGAGGAAGAATACAACAGGGGTTTCCCTAGCATCAGCTTGTGGGGGCTGCTCAGGCACTGACATTTGTGGAGGGTCTCCTGGTCATAGCAGCTCAGGACAAAGGTAGAGTCTATGGGGACACAGACCCAGGCCAACTCAGTCCTCTGTACCTCAGACTCCAAAGGCTGGCAAGTATCCCTGCAGGCTATGAGCCTTCCTGAGCTGTCAGGAGCCCTGGAGGATTGTGTGCATGAGATGGGTGAGTCTCCCAGAGGGCTACAAGCGGCCTGGTCCCGACCCAGAAGCCAGACTTTGGTGAAGACTGAGAGCCCCTTTCATTTCAGAGGGAGGGAGAGGGACCCCTTCTTAGGGAAAGCAGGTTTGAATCCCTCCACCTCAAGGCTGTCCTCCACCCGCAGCTTGCCCCAACTCACAGAGCCATGCTTACTTCCCTCCTGGGTGGTACTTAGTTCCCTCCTGGGTGGTACCCAGACTTGTGGCAAAGCACTATCTGGTGTCATTCTCAGGGCGAGTGCTGTGCTCAGTGACCCAGAGCCTGGAGAAACTGCAGGTACTGAGCAGCAAGGAGAAGTGGCGGGAGCCCTAGCCCTGATAGATGGTGAGTGTCTGCCAGCCTGGAGCCTGCACGAGGACCCGAGCAGAGTCTACTCGGGGCAGCTGCAGGAGACAATGCCTGCTTGGACCCCTTCCCTCTCCCGTTTTCACCAGGGCCCTTTCTTTTCAGACTCGGACGTTGGGTGATTGATCCACCCTGAAGCTGTGTGCCAGGAGTCAGGAGGGCCATGCACAGGCAGCTGCACCAAGCAGCACAGGTCCAGATGGGGCCAGAGGATCAGGCCCCAGAGCAGCCGGCAGACACAGCAGGACAGGGACTATGGCCCGTGCCAGGCAGCTTGGGCCAGCACTGAGGCAGGACAAAGGCCTGTCACCCAAACCTGATGGTAAGGCTCAGAGCTTATGGCCTGCCCTGGCCCAGACCAGGCAGGGCCTTGGGGAGTATATCCCCATCTGTGGGTGCCAGAGGCTTGACCTTATGAGAACTGGGCACCTGAAAAATGTCATTTGTTGGAAAATAAAATTTAAGATCAGTTGGTGAAGGGCTTAGTTGTGGTTACAATGATATGTTAGTGCCAACACACTAACTGGGCCAAAGCAAGGGGAAGACCCCAGCCCTAGCAACTTGGGCCTCTGGGTGGACATCCCTGGTGGCTAGGCCCCCAAGTACCATGCACAATGGTAGGCCGACTCAGCAACCCTGCCTGCCCTATCCCCTTCAGCCAAGGGGCATCTTTGTTCCAGTAGCCCACATGATTCTGTAGAGCCTAACTTGACTCAAGACAAGCTACTAGAGAACTAAAGCACATTCCCCAGGCCCTAGGTAACGTGAGTGAGCCAGGTCCAGGTACTCTCTTCACACAGCAAGGCAAGACATTCTCCCACCCATGGTGGCTCTCTTACCAAACTCTGAGGTGGATATGGGAGCACCACCTTCCTCAGCACACCAGGTATTGGCTGCAGAAACTTCTCAACTCACCACTGGAATCTTCGTAGATATGGTACTGTAGGTAACAACCAGTGGTGGCTTTTCTGTCCCATGCTGACTCTGCTGTTGTCATTCAGCACACTAAACCTGTGCTTCCAGACCATCCCCTGCAGCTGCATGCAGACTGTACTAAGAATGAGGAAATGCAGGTTTTCAAAGCAAAGAGGATCCAGAACAGGATTCCGCCATGCAGGCTGAGGTTCAATGTGGAGGGTCCTGGCACATGAGCTTCCGATAGGCTGCCAGCCCACAGCATGCAGAGGCTTGAAGTGCCCCGATAAATAAGGAAATAATAGGATGTCTTGGGCCAGGGGAATTCCTCCATGTGCCCCCCCCCCCATCCTGGGACAGGAGGCCTGAGCTGGTTCCCCTGTGAACAATACCTAGCACCTGGGGACCCAGAACCCCTCTCTCAGGTCTAGCCTCCACATCCAGAAGAATGGAGGCCCTTCTTAAGCCCAGCCTTCGGCCTCCATCTAAAACCAAAAAACAAAGAGAGCAGCTGAGGAGCGACTTTATTTATTGTCTTTTTCTCCTTCAACAACTCCATACACAGCTGGGTCCCTGAGACCCCAACCCTCCTAGGAACTAAGCCACAGTGGGGTAAAGCCACTCTGAAGCTTCACCTATAGTTCACACATTGGTGAATGAGAGAAATCTAACAAAGCAAATCCAACAACAACCAAAAATAACAGTGTAAGATCCTACCCCAAGCTGGCTCCTCCAGACTTAGGGGCCATAGCTCCAGAAGAATGCAGCAACAAGCAGACCTAGACAAAGGTATCCCTCACCAAAGCAAACTCTTCTGAGCGACCTGGAGCTGTACACCTGCCCCCTTAGACGACTGGGTACTACCTGATGAGAAGCACACTGAGGAGTTTGAGCCTTTGGGTGGTACGAACATCCTGAGCCTGAAGAGCCAGGCCCAGTGCGCCCAAACCCCCCACTGACCAACCTGAGAGGATGGGCTGGGTCCCAGCTGGCCCAGCCACTGCCTGATGACTGCTTGGGACAGTGGAGATGATGAGATGCCTGCCTGCCCTGTGCAGTCAGAAGAGCAAACACAGAAACACTCTAGAAGACACACTTTCACAGGAATCCCAGGGCTAAGTCTTCTCAGGCTGTGGGCATAGATACAGCTAGGGGTGGGGGGGAGTGACAGCTGGCACAGGAACCTCCTCAGGAGGAAGCCGGGAGCAGCTTCTCTAGGGCCTTCTTCTGCTTCTCTGTGGCTGCAGCCAAAGCCTCAGCCAGCTTCTCCTCGGGCATCATGTTGAGCACCTTGAGGGCGAAGAGGAGCTGGTACTTGGCGGTGCTGATGAAGGCATTGCTCAGGAAGTTGGGGAAACCTCCAACTCGGTCCTTCTGGGTGTACAGTGGGACCCTTACAAGGCCCAGCACCTGCACAGACAAGTCAGAGTTAGGTCCAGGCCCTCCATGCAAGGCAGCACATCCCTGGCAAGAGGGGCCTGCAAGCTACTGAAGAAGAGCAGCGCATTTTGCCAAGGACATGGTAGAATGCCCAAGCAGGGTCTGGCAGGGCAGAAGGCAGACAGCTCCCTTGGAAGGTACAGCCCCCACTTCCCCAAGCACGTGTCCAGGCCAGCCCTGTGGTCCCCCCACTGCACCCCATGCTCCCCATTCCAGACCACAAAACCCACAACCCAAGAGCCTTCACACCCCAATGAATTCTTAAGTCCTGCAATTCCTCCTTCTGCTCCTCAGTTTACCACCTCCCCAGGCAGACACCACTCCCCCATCCCTTCCTCCCCACCGGTCCCACTCCCCACTCCCAGGATTGGCAATGGCAGGCAGCAAGGCAGATGTAACACAGCCCTGAGGGAGCCCCAGCCCCGGCCCAACCCCAGGCCCCTCTCCCCATTCAGTTGCTGGAGACAGCGACACCCCACCCAGCCCGGCCAGGGGACCCTCAGGGAGACGTGTTACCCATCGGTGCCTTCCACGGGGCCAGAGCCAAACCCCGGGGCGGGGGGCGGGACCCGGGCGGTGGCCCCACCTCCAGGCCGTGGTCGCGCGAATGCACCGCGCTGATCTCCACGGCGTGCAGCTGCTCCAGCGTCAGCTGCCGCGCGTACAGGTGCGCCACGACGCGGTGCGGGCCCTCGGTAAGGTGCGAGCTCAGATAGTCAGCCTCAGTGAGGCGCAGGCAACCCAGGCCCAGGCCCAGCACCCGGTTCAGTCCATCCTCCAGCGACCAGAAACGCCTGTCCACGAAGCCCCCAGGGAAGCCCAGCAGCCCATCGAAGCGCATCTGCATCTGCAAGGGGAGCGCCGGGTCACGGGCGCGGGAGCGGGGTCGGCACGGTGCCCCCGGCCCGGCCACTGCCCGCCCCCGTCCTCACCAGCACCGAGAAGCGCATAGGGATGCGGCCAAAGAGCTGCCCGGGGTTGGCGGCGTACAGCATAGCGTGGCACGAGTGGCTCCAGCCCGGGCCCAGGCGCATCGCCTCCACTCGGCTGATCTGCTTCAGCTCCGGTACCGACGCCGTCGACATCTTGGCACTGGCCCCTGAGGCCCGGCCGGCCCCCACCCTTCAACGCATGCGCGGACCCGCCTCCTTCACGCCCCACCAACCCGCGGGCAGCCGTGTCCCTGGGCCCCACCTCCCCTCCAATCCCTGACGCAGGTCGTCGCAGAGCCCATCGCCGCGCTACGATGCGTCGTTGAGAAGCGAAGGGGGCAGTGTGCAAAAGCAAGAGCCGTGTGCGCCAGGCGCCACCCAATAGCCACGGATCCCAAGCAGCGGCTCCGCCCCTGACCTACAAAGACTACAACTCCCAAGATCCAACACGCCGATTAGCCGGCGTCCTGGAGCGGTGAATGCCAGCCGAACTCGGGGCTCACCCGCCTGAACACGTCCCGGTCTTTAGAGTACAGCCGGGCATCCCAGCTACACAAGCTAGCGAAGTTTCTCAGGCTTCCTCTGCCAGGCCTCTCGGACTTGAGCCTGGAGGGTGGCAACCTTCCACCACCATGCACAATAGTTGTGTGTTCCGGGCCACTCTTGCGCCTCAGGTGTGCCCGGCTGCCCGCAGTTCAAGTCCATGCCCGGCCCTGACACTATGCTGGATGGCCAAGGGCTAAATGGGGCGCTGGACCCAGCCTCCTGGGGCAAGTTACTTAAATCGGGGACCAGGCTCTCCAGCGTCCTCCAGGCCAGGCATCACATGCTGGGAACCATTGGGGAAGTGCAGGTTTCCCCAACTTACTGATGAGAAGCCTGGGTCTCAGAGACGGACAGGACTTGTGAAAGTACGCCCAGCAGTTGGTACTGGGTGGGAGGACCCCTCCTACCCACTGTCTACAACAGAAAGCCACCAGATCCCACAGGGAGGGCCTCAAGTACTTACCCCGTGTTTGTGCTGGAGAAGGCAGTCCTTGGGCTCAACAGCACTGGAAACACTGCCCAAGGGAGAGCAGTGGGGTCCCCTGAACCCCATGATGGCAAGGCTCACCTTACCAGCAGCCAGGCCCAAGGGCCACTTTCTTCTCCACAGTGGACATAAGGTTTGCTGAGTGAAGGACCCCTGTCTGCACTGCTGCATAGGTGCCCAGGGCTGGAGCCTAAGCATTCAGAGAGCTGTGCAGTCAGGCCAGTGCTGTGGCACAGGGAAAGCTGCCTGAAGTGAAGTTGTGCAGAATAGGGGTGAGGTGAACCAGGGCTGGCAGGAGCCACTGGACACTCATGTTAGGGCTGGTGATGTCAGATTTGGGGAGGGCTCCACCTCCAGGCAGCCAAGCACAACGTGAGCCCAGGGACTGTGGGACATTAAGGGCCACAGGAGGACACACTCCCCGGATGCAACCCTGCCCCCCCACCAGACCTCAGTAACAAGGCTGGGTCTGTGGGAAGTGTGGAGGGGGAGCCAGGTTAGCCCATGCAAGCACCTGTCTAACACCTTAAGCACCTCTACCCATGCTGGGACCAGGCCAGAATAAAGTCAGTCTCAGGGGGCTACAGGGCTGTGGATGCCAGGAACAGCTGTTGCCCCCTTTACCCCTGTAGGCTTGAGTCAAAAAGGGGCCATGAAGGCAGCCTGACTTGTGCTTGCAAAGGAGCTGGGGACCCTGCATGGTGGGTGCCCTGGGGCACTGGCCAGGCCCTGCTAGGAGGCAACCCCCTGGACAGGGGAGCATAGGTTATCTAACCAGAGTGCCCTGGGCTGGGCTCTAGGCTCCAAATGTACCATCTCTGGGCAGCTAAATGGGGTCCTCCAGCCCAGTCTCTGCACAACAGCTGCAGGGTATCACTCCTCTGCTCAAGAGCCTCTTTAGAAGACAGACAACTGACTACCCCTTAAAAAAAACTCTAGCTACTTCAACAAGGTCTTCAGCATCTGTCCCTGATGATACCCCAGCCAGTGCGCTTCCCACTGCAGGCTCGTTCCTGCCACCATGTCTGCACTGTCCCAGGGCCAGCTCCTGTTCATCCTCAGGGCAGCTGAATCAAGTGCCCCACATGCCTTCATCTCATCACCCACTGAGTTTCTTCTTGACAGTAACCAACCCTGGAAAACATTTTGATTACCTGTTTGTCTCACTGCTGAGAATGTAAGCACCCTTGCAGAGGCCCCTCCCCTGGCACACAGGATGTGCCTGCTGAACAACTGTAGGATGCATCAGCAATAGAGATGGGGACAACTAGAGGGGCAGCCCTCGCACCTGGGGGCCCAAAGCTCTTATGCTACCTGTTCAGGAGACTTAGCCAAGTCCCAAAGGTCTGTCTTCACTCTAACCAGAGATCAACAAAGATGACAAACAATGAAAACAGTCAAAACAGCACCCCATGAGCATTGATCACCCACTGGGAACCTGAGCTATCTCGTTTAATCCCACCCAAGTTTAGAACCTGCACTGTCACTGCCATCTGATACATGAGGAAACCAAGGCAGAGGCCATGTACTGAGGCAGAGTGTGGCAGCTGCCAGGGAGACTCAGTGCCCGCCTCTGGATCAGGAAACAGCCTGGCACACAGTATTGTGCCCGGAGGAAGGAGCAGACAGAATATTGCTGCATGGTTTTATTACTATAAATATACAGTAAAAATGAACAAATGAGCCTATCCACGCGCACCAGATGACAGCACATGGAAGCCCCAGATGGGCCAGTCTCAGCTCATCCACGAAAAGTTCTGGCACCAGCACTAAAGGCAAGGCCAGGCCTTGCTTGGTTTGGGAAAGGAGAAAGCCAGCCTGCGTGTGCACATGTGCCTGTGTAAGCATGTGCACATGTGCACACACCAACACAGACAGGGCAGGAGGATAGGCTGGCCTGGATGCAATGCAGGGAACTGGCACACTCCACTCAGGCTTAAGTGGAGAGCAGCTGTCCACTGGTGGGTTCCTCTCCAGAGCACCACACTGGGCAGGAGTGGTGCTCAGAGCAACCCAGAGCCTTCTGCCAGGCCAGGGCAGGCGTGCTGAGTCCTGGGTACTGCTGTGGGTTGTCCTACAGCCATCCTTCCCCCAGGGGTCAGCTGCAGGGCACCTCTGTGGCAGTGGGCCCCTCTGCCCTCCCAGGCCAGGGAAGCTACACATACTTGCTGGGCTCAAGACCCTTCAGACACCAGGCCCAGCACCCTCTTTGCCTTTCCATTGCCCAGGAGGTTTTTCCTACACAAAGGACATGGTCCCCAGATGCAAAGGGTCATGCTGGGTCTCTTGGTCCACAGGCTGATCCTGCCACAAGAGTCTCAGACAGGACAAATCAAGGAGAAATAAAAAGTGACAATTATAGCTGGGGGCTGTGGCAGGTGCGTATAGTCCCAGCTACTTGGGAGGCTGAGGCAGGAGAATCCCTCAAGCCCAGTTTGAGGTTGCTGTAAGCTGTGACGACACGGCACTCTACCGAGGGCAACACAGTGAGACTCTGTCTCAAAAAAGGGATGTTTAAATAGTAAAAGGGGATCTGAGGAAGCTACTTGGTCCCTCCTGGCAGGTGCCCAGCTGAGTAGAACCCCTTCTACCTGGATAAGCCTGATGATATAACCAAAGCCAGCTGCAAATGGCTGCACCTCTACCTTGGGCCAGGCCCAGCCCCAGCCCTGTGTAAATACCTTAGTGGCTGGCCCAGCCCTCTGTAGATACCTTGGTGGCTGGGAGAAGGGCTGTGGGCAGGGGGGAGGCTCAGAACAGGCCCTCAGAGTGGGCCAGGAAGAGCCACTGGGACCTCAAGAAACGGCAAAGGGTGAAAGGCAGCAGCGACACGCACAGGGTGGGCAGACAGGCACTATTTCCTTCATGGACCATGACTCAGGCCCCCTGCCATGCCCCAGCATCTGTGAAGACAACACTTCACCCACAAATAAATTCTCTTCTGCTGGTTTGCTGAGTTCTCAGGCATAGCTGAACCGGGTAACACATGAGCAGTCAGTGCCAGCCCTGGGCTCAGCCTATTGAGCTGGGAGACCCTGGGCTCAGGGCCCAGCTAGAAAGTTGCTGTCCTTCATCTTGTACCATTTACAAATATAGCAACCATAGAAAAAGGGGACTGGAGGGGACAGTCTACTGTGCTCTTTGATCAAGGGTTGCCATGGCCTTTCAGAGCCTGGTGGCCACAGGGGGCGTGCAGACAGGAGTGGCCAGGTCACACTGGGGGCCAGGGCAGCCCCTTGGCAAAGTCTGGGGAGCCAAGGGCTCCTTGCTGCCAGCCTGGCCAGGCTTTCAGAGTGGAGTCAAGTCAGAGGTGTTGGGATCGGCACTGGGGCCACCAAGTGGAGGCCAGGGGGGGCCAGTGGTGCTGAGGCTGCAGGGCGTCTCCATGGAGGTGGACCATCCTGCAGGTGAGAGCAGAAGAGGAGGGATCATGCTTGTCAACTCTGTCCCATGTCACCTGCTCCTACCAATGTGGAGCCCTCCAAGGGCAGGGCCACCCAGCACCCTACCCTGCCTGCTTATAGCCAGTGTGGTTCAGATATAACCACACTGAGGGCTGGAGACTCTGCAGCCCTAGGAATGCCAGTGAAGCCATCCTTCTGGGGATAGGTCACCCCTGGGCACTTGGCAGTATGCTGCAGACAGGGACAGAATATAATGCAGTGCCACCAACTGCTGACCCTTCTGTCTCCTGCCCTTACCTCAGCTCCTTTCTGGGATCTGACCAGCCACTGTCCTGCTAACCCTTACAACTGGGTTAGATGGAACTTGGCTAACCCCTGAAGTGGAGAACGGGGAGCACACGTGGGCAACAACAGATGGTGCTCAGGGCAGACCGTAGGGGCTTCTTTGAAGCAGAGGGAGGGCTTCAGAAGCCTCCCTACCTTCCAGAGGCCTGTTCTGCCATGAGGTACTCTATACAGAGACCAGGTCTGTCTCCTAGGGCTTGAACAAGGGCACTAACATAAGGAACCTGTGACACTCACCTGTGGCTACAGCAGGACCAACACATCCTCAGGGATGCCCAAACCCTGGCTCCCGCACTCTAACACAGGGCTCCAGCCCAGAGCTGCTGGAATAGCCCCAGCCTTGGATAAAGAGCAATTATTTCCTTCAGAAATTGTGACCTTGTGTGGGACCCAGCTCTGCCTTGAAGGCCCCAGGCTATGTAACACATTGCTCCAGGTCTTCCCTGAGCTCTATCCTTCTGGAAGTTTGACCTAAATCCCGACAATCAAATTGTACCTTCCCCTGAGGCAGAGGCAGGGCCCACTTTGTACAGTGTGGGGTGCTACTGCAATAGAGGGGTAAGATTTGTCACCAAAACCGTTTAAGATGACAGGGAGGTTTGTGTGGAAACACTAGCAGCTGTCAAAACAAATGAAGATGCCTCAGCTTGGTTCAGGTCAGTAGAAGGGGCAAGGGCCAAGGCTGAGAGGCTGGGACACCAGCTAGTTGCTTCCCAGATGGCCTCACAGGCCCAAGGTGGCTGGCATACTACAGGAAAGCCCTAGTCACACAGGGCATTGGCTCCCCTGCTAGCAGATGTCCCAAAGCAATGCATTGTAAGTATGCCCAGAACTCTCACAAGGGGAAGAGAGGGGCGGCGCCTGTGGCTCAAAGGAGTAGGGCCCAGGCCCCATATGCCAGATGGTGGCATGTTCATATCTAGCCTTGGCCAAAAACTGCAAAAAAAAAAGGGGGGGGAGGTCCCCACCATGTTTGCCTATTTGGGGGGGGTACTCTTGGCCCACAAAAAATACTTTGGTCTCTTATAAAATATCCAGGTGGACCACACTAGAAGAGGGCACCTCCCTTCCCACAGCCTCCTAACAGATGGCTCAGAGTGTGCTGGTGTTCTAAAAGGTTCCAGAGGCAGGACAAACAAGTTAGCAGCATAAAGAATGACTAAGAGCTGAAAGGCAGTTCACCAAGGGTACTGTCTGCCAGGCACACAGTGACATCAGGGCCATGAAGGCCACACTACAAGAGGAGGACAGATAGTCTCCACAGCCAACAGAGAGCCCATAAGAACAGACTCCCTCCCAGACGGGGCCTTATTGCAGCCTGGGGTGTATTGTTTTCTCTGTGAATCCATAACATAAAGCCATGACCAGAAAATAGGGGCAGATCCTTGTAGAACATCTCAACCCATCTTCTGTGAGATTGCTGGCAAATCAGTTGTGCTGCCATGCACAATGGGGTGTGACCTCTGCTGGAGCGTCCCTTGTGACATCTGGCCCAGTGTCTCCCTGAGGCTCCTTCCTATGAGCATACCCAGGCTGAGTTTGTTCCAAGGACCCCAAAGGCTGGAAAAAGAACTCAACCAAGCCACCTGGTCTAGATGGAAAAATCTCTAGTTCCAAAAGTCAGGACCCCCCCAAGAGGCCACCTTTTAGGAGCAATACCATGGCCATTGGAGAGCTCTGGATTCAGATTCCAGTCCCCCTGGGAAGACACAGATGCATTAAGTCAGGCAAGGCTTACACCTGTAATCCTAGCACTCTGGGAGGCTGACACAGGTGGATCACCTGAGCTCAGGAGTTGTAGATCAGCCCAAGCAAGAGCGAGGCTCCATCTCTACCAAAAATAGAAAAACTAGCCAGGTATGGTGATGAGCACCCTGTAGTCCCAACTACTTGGGAGGCTGAGGCAAGGTGATCTCTTGAGCCCGAGAGTTTGAGGTTGCTATGATCTATGACACCATGGCACTCTATCCTGAGCGACAGAGTGAGACTCTGTCTAAAAAAAAAATCAGAAGGAGAGGACTCCTCTCTCCATGGATGCCTGACACAGCCACCCCAAGGTGTGTATGAAAGGTCACATGTCAATGTACTCCTCTATACCAAAAAGGAGTTAGACCCTAGGGCTGTGTGTAGGGAGGGAGAGACGGAGGCTCAGATAGCAAACACACTGCAGATGGGAATCCACCATGGCAACAGGTGCCAGCTTTCGGATCTGGTGGGGGTGCTGCCCAGTATTAAATGCCCATGTGTATGGACTTGCTGCCACCAAGTAGAAACAGCAGATGGCAACAGTGTCTGGGCCAGACTTTACTGCAGGGGACTCTCCTCCAGAGAATGGCAAGGCTGGAGGCTAAGAGCTGCCAGACCTAGAAGCCTCAGGATGCTGTGGACCTAAGTTTTCACCATTTTATGGATTTTCTCATCTACAGGCAACAGAACACTTCAATGCAGTATACTCTTTCATCTAGGTCAGGCATCCTCAAACTACAGCCCGTGGGCCACATGCAGCCCGCCTAGGACATTTATCCAGCCCACCGGGTGTTTTTGCCGCCACTGCCTGTCCTGCTTAGCAATCAACTTATCCCAGGGCCCGCAGTCCGGCCCTCCAATGGTCTGAGGGACAGTGAACTGGCCCCCTGTTTAAAAAGTTTGAGGACTCCTGATCTAGGTGATAGCTGGGCTGTCACTGAAATAAGGATACCTGTATGCATGTTCATAGTGTTAAACACACACAGACATGCACGATGTTCAAGGTCTCTAAGTGAAAACAAGCTAGGAGAACAGAGAGTGGATAAAGACACAAACACAGGCCACAACACTGTGTGTGTCCCTGAGGATGGCCGTCACATGCCCCAGAACACTGATGGGTCTTTAGTGGAGGCACAGACATAAGGTCATGCAGGACACAGACTGAGAGGGCCACTTCCCTGGGCCTAAAGGCCTGGGACCCTCACCCAGAGTGGGGGCATCCTAGACTCATGTGCAAGGGCTGAGCCACAGAGGCCTGTCGTGATACTGTCTAGGCCTGAGTTCTCTGCCGGCCACATAAAGGAAGACTTTTTAGAAGCTGCCCCTTCAGGGCCACCTGGGGGAGGAGAGCCCTGCTTGTGGTCCCCAGAATCTAGAATCCTCTTCACCCCTCAAAGCATTTTTTTTTTTTTTTGAGACAGAGTCTTGTTCTGCTGCCCAGGCATGAGAGTAATGGAGCCACCATAGCTTGCTGCAACCCCAAACTCCAGGCTC